AAATATCAGGAACTTAACAGTTAAGCTCTCCCAAAGCAAGAACCCTTCAACAGGATTGTTCATACCATAATCCACTCCTGACCTCAGCCAGCACTGGATTGTGGGCATGCGTGCACCTGGTGTGTTCTGAGAGGTCTCTAGATATGACCTGGGAACCCTCCTGTGTGGTCAGCCTCACAAAGCACTGCAATACTGCCTGACCTTGTCCTGTCACTTTTAAGACCTTAGCAAGGGCAGGAATGTGGACAATATAGATGGAAATAGGGTTCTGAAGAAAACAACTTGCCCCACATCAAACTGGAATTAACTAGCATCAATTGGGTCTTCCTCCATATGTAGTATCTTCCAGTACAACTTGTGTTACTACCTGCATCTCCTCTCTTGGTAATAACCACTCTCCTCTCTCTGAGATAACTCATTTCTTTCTTGACTTTTCCATTTCCTTCATAATCAAAAACTTCTCACAGGAAGAGGTAAAAATGACTGATAGTACAGTTATCCTAACCAGACTACTACAGCAATAGAGAAGAAGAATTGATTTAAAAAATGAATATCATCATTATCAAAAGAGAGAACTAGGACAACATAACAACCAGGTAATTTCCTTTCTGTAATTACCATAGTTTTATTTGACACTCCCCTGAACAAATTCTGAGTTCTAAATCCATTAATCTATTCCAACTGTCCACTGACGTACAAGGTCTCACACATAAAAATTCCCAGTACATGTTGACTGACAGACACTCACTGAGTAAATTAAGAGAAGCTCTTAAAATGTCTAAGGTCCATTTTCCTTCTATGAAATTATTTTCTTTACTTCAATTCACTGTTTTCTGAGAAGCATGATATATGCGCAGTATCTTAAAATATGAAATCCTGTTCTCTGGATCTGAAAAGAACATTAGGCAGTTCTATAACATCTGTCTTTACCTCAATTCCCCTTTTAAAAAGGTACAGCTTTGAATATCATTAAAACTCATCTAGTGGGAGGGGGCAGCAGGTGGCATGGTGGTTAAGGGCACTGGACTCCCACATGGCCAACCACAGTTCAAGTCCCAGAGCTGACAGTTCTTTCTCTCTCTTTTTCCCTGTCTGTCTGTCACTCATTCTATCCCTCTCTGGCAAAATTTAAATAAATAAATAAATAAATAAATAAATGTTAAATAAAATAATTCTTTAAAAGAAAATATGGCAAAGGTAGGGGGAAGCTCTTAAAATTCTAACACTGAGGTGGTAAGTGGTTATGAAGTCGATTAGCCAATTCTTCACCCAGGAAGAGTACACACACACCTCAGGGCCAGACAGTGGCACAGTGGGAAAACACGATACTTGGCGAGACTGACCCACCTGGAACGGCTCTGGGTTCCCATCCAGAGACATTCCTGAGTATGTTGGGCACATGTATGTCCCTGATTTGCAGTGAGCTGAGGCTAGAGGTAGAGCCTGGTTGAAGACTCTATTTGGAGTGCTCTCTCTCTCTCTCTCACGGAGGAAATCAATTTTGAAAAAGATCTAAGCTTATGCATCATGTTAGGTACAGGGAGAAAACCAGAGTTAGAGAAAGTATTTTGTCTATTTATTACCTATGCCTTGTTCAAAAATAGTACAACTCAGAAGTCTGTTGAGCCCGGTCATGCCCACCATGGCCCAGTGTCCCCTAGTCCCTGTCAAGTCAATGTTCTCTATATGCATTTCACTGGATCAGACCAGTGATGCATCCATTCTAGAAACTTGGACAGTAAACTCAAAAGATAATATTTCTCACAACCTTAGTTTAAAATTTTCAGGACAGGTGCCTAATACTTTGTATCTAAAGGTAACTTCTGAATTCTCCCAAGAAACAGAAAGCTAACATCATTACCCTAATTTGGGCATTTTATTAATCAATCCACAAACATTATTTTCACAGAAAGTCTCTAAGTAACTCAGAACAAATGACCCCCCCCCCCAATTTAAACATGCTCAACACTGTAGATCAGAGAAGACCAGAATGTGTCTGGAGATAGTCTATGCCTCTCCACAGCTGTCAGGAATTCCCATCTGGGAAGGCACCTTTAGTTGGAATTCTACTTTCCAGTCCCTTCCCATGAAAATCTCCTCACCTTTAGGTCAAACTTCTACTTAACAGAAAACAAACATTCCTTATTGAGGCCGGCAGGTGGCATGGTGGTTGAAACGCTGGATCCCACATGGTGCACTGTGGTTCAAGTCCCAGATCTGGCAGTTTGCTTTCTCTCTTCCTCTCGTTGTCTTTCTCTGGTGAGTGCCAATATCAAATTAAAAAATGATGATGATGATGAATAAAATTTTTTAAAGAATTATTTTATTTAACTTTATTTATTTATTTTTAATTTGACCAGAGAAGGACAGAGCAAGTGAGCGAGTGAGAGAGAGAAAGTGAGAAAGCAAGTCACCAAGTCCAAAACTCAAATTGTAGTTGGCCATGTGGGAGTTCAGCATCCTTAACCACACCTACTGACCCTGATGACAAATAAAATTTTAAAAAAATCTATCCTTATTAGATATTAGATATTTCCTTTTTTAAAATTTTTTCTTCTACTAAATTAGAACTTTTTTAGTTTTTATTTTAATTTACATTTAACCACGTATATCTTTACAGTGTACAACATTGCTTTTTCCAGCATGAATACCATGCATTTCAGTCAAGACAAAGACATTACTGTATACATTATCATTAGCAAATAGCTTTCCAATTTTTTGTCAGTTAAAAATACTTTTATCCTTGGGAACCAGCAGTTAGCGTAATGGCTATGTTGCTGGACTCCCACGTAGTCAACCACGGTTCACGTCCCGGACCCGGTGGCTTAAAACTCATGCCGGGTGCGTGTGCGTGTGTGCCCAAGATCCCAAGAGGAGAATGGAGAAGAGATTGCAGCGTGACCATACCCTCTGGGGGGTGATTTCTCACTTTCTATCTCTCTGTCTCTCTCTGTCTGGTGAGCACACGCGCCCTATAACGAAAACCTCTCAAAAAAAAAAAAAATACTTTTATCCTTTCCCTGGTCACATCCCTCCCTCTATTATCCAACCCCATATTACTCCTATCCTTACTATCTCTAGTATTTACCATTGCCCTCTGTATTACTATACCTTTCAAACTTTCAGTTTCTGCTATGTAGCACAGACAATCATTATATATTGAGTGGGGACATACAAAGCCTATCTTTCATAGTCTGGCTTGTTTTACTTAGCATTAAGTCTCCCATATTTGTCCACTTTGTATCAAATGTCAGAGTCTCCTTGTTTTTTATGGCTAAGTAGTATTCTGTAGAGTATACATGCCACATTTTTTCAATTCAATCGTCTATTTTTGGACATTTGCGTTGACTCCATGTCCTAGCAATTGTAAATAATGCTGCAATAAACATGAATGTGCAAGTGTTTTTTTCTGTCTGAGGGTTTTTCCATCCACTGGGTAAATACCTAAGAGGAGAATTACTGGGTCATATGGTAATTCTATTTGTAGGTTTCTGGAGAATATCCACATCATTCTCCAGAGTGGTTGTACTAATTTGCATTCCCACCAACAGAGTAGGAGAGTTTTCTTTTCACCACAGCCTCATCAGCACTTATCATTTTTTTTTTTTTAATTTTAGCCATTCTGACTGGGGTTAAGTGGCATCTCACTGCAGTTTTGACTTACATTTCCCTTATGATAAGAGGTATTGAGCGTGTTCTCATATGCATTTGGGCTGTTCATATGCCTTCTTCTGAGAATTGTCTCTTCAGCTTCTTTCCCCATATTTTAACTGGATTGATTATTTTTGTGTGTGTGGGTAAGTTGCTTGAGTTCCCTGTATGTTCTGGTTATCAGTTCCTTATCCGAGGTATAGTTTGCCAATATATTCTCTCACTCTGAGGGTGATCCTCTCAATCATTGCTTCTTTCGCTGTGCATAAGCTTCTTAGCCTAATATAGTCCTATATGTTTATTTTTTGGACTACTCCCTGTCCTTTGGAGGTCTTTAAGTAGTCTCTGCCTACACCAAGATCTCCAAGAGTTTTTCCTGTGTTTTCCACGAGTATTTTTATAGCTTGAAATTTTATGTTTAGATTCTCAATACAGTTTTGAGTTAATTTTTGTTAGTGGTGAGAGATAAAGATCCAGTTTCATTTCTCTGCAGGTGGATATCCATTTCTCCCAGGACCATTTGTTGAAGAGATTTTCTTTTTTCCCACTGGATTGTCTTGTGCTCTTTGTCAGGAATCAGTTGGCTGTATGTTTTGGGATTCATTTGCGGATTCTCAGTTCTGTTGATCTACATGTCTGTTTTAGTTCCAATATCATGCTATTTTAATTATCACACTTTGTAATATGTTTTGAGTTTAGAAAGTAAGACACCTTCTATTATTCCCCTTACACAGTATTGCTTTGGAGATACAAGGCCTTTTATGCTTCCAGACAAATTCTATGATTGTTTCTCCTACTTCTGTGATGAATAACTCTGGTAGTTTGATTGAGATTGCATTAAATTTGTAGGTTAATTGATTAATATAATCTTGATTATATTAATTATTCCAATCCAAGAACATGGGAATTTTTTCCACTTTTTTGTATCACTTTTAACATCTTTTTCTAGTTTTATAGTTTTCCTTATAGAGATCTTAGACATCTTTGGTAAGGTTTATTCCTAGATATCTTATTGGTTTTGTGACTTATAAATAAGATTTCTAACTTCAATTCTGTTTGTTTGTCCATTGTTGGCGTATAAAAATGCTATAAAATTTTGTATGTTGATTTTGTATCCTGCCACTTTACTATATTCATTTACCACTTCCAGGAGTTTTTACGTGGGTTCTTTGGATTTTCTATGTATGGCATCATGTTATCTGCAAATAGAGATAATTTCGCTTCTCTCTTTTTTTTTTAATTTGGATACCTTTTATTTTACTCTCTTGTCTAATTGAATTTGCTAGAACTTCTAAAACCATGTTAAAAAGGAGTAAAGAGTCTTTCTGCCATCTTTCTGTGCCACCATAATGGTGTTCATGAATGTCCTGGTTGATGCCCTCAACAATGCTGAAAAGAAAGGCCAATTCCAGGTTCTTAATAGGCCATGCTCCAAAGTCATTGTCCAATTTTTAACTACGACAATGAAGTATGATTACATTGGCAAATTTGAAATCATTAATGACCACAGAGCTGTAAAAATTGCTATGAACTTCACTAGTAAGTTAAACAAGTGTGGAGGGATCAGCCCCAGATTTGATGTGCAACGTAAAGATCTAGAGAAATGGCAGAATAATCTGCTCCCGCCTAGTCAGTTTGGTTTCATTGTACTAACAATCTCAGTTGGCATCATGGAATGTGAAGAAATAAGACAGAAACATATAGGAAGGAAAATCCTGGGATTCTTTTTCTAGGAATACAATATACTCATACAAATAAAATGATTCATTGAGGGGGAAAAAAGGAGTGGAGAAAGTGGGTAGCCTTGTCTTGTTCCAGCTGAAAATTTTTCCCCATTATGATATTAGCAATTGGTTGTTCATCGATGGCTTTTATTATATTGAGGAATGTCCCTTCCAGGCCGATTTAACTGAGAGTCTTAACAGTTAAGTGATGTTGTATTTTATCAAATGCTTTTTCTGCATCAATTGATATGATCATATGGTCTTTATATTTCCTTTTGTTAATGTGATGTATTACATTTATTGTTTTGCATATGTTGAACCATCCTTCCATCCTTGCATTCCTTTAATAAAGCCTACTTGGTCATGATATATAATCTTTTTAGTATGTTGTCAAATACGATTTGTCAGTATTTTGCTGAGAATTTTTGCATCTGTATATGGCCCTGATATGGCCCTGAAGATTTTTTTTTTCTTTTTTGATTGTTTTGTTGTTGGTGGTGGTTTTTTGGTTTTGCTTTTGTTTTTGTTTTTGTCATGTCCTTGTCTGGTTTGGAAATTAAGATGATTAAGAAGAGGCTTCATAGAATAAATTCGGGTATATGTGTCCAAGAAATTTGTCCATCCCATCTATGTTTTCTTGTTTATAGTCACCCATAATATTCTCTGATGATATTTTGTATTTCTGTTATATCCATTGTAATAATGCCTTTTTCCTTGCTGATTTGATTTATCTGGTCTCATTCTCTGTTCTTTTTTTTTTTTTTTTTTTTTTTTTTTTGAGAGGTTTTTGCTATAGGGCACATGCACTCGCCAGACAGAAAGAGAGAGACATAGAAACAGAAAGTGAGAAATCACCCCCCGGGAGGATGGTCAAGCCGCAAACCCTTCTCCTCCATTCTCCTCTCGGGACCTTGGGCATGCACACACATGTGCCCAGCGTGAGTTTTAAGCTGCAGGGTCCAGGACTTGAACCGCGGTCGACTACATGGGAGTCCAGCGACATAGCCATTACTCTAACTGCTGGTTTCCTCGTTCTCTGTTCTTGATTAATCTAGCTACTGTGTCAATTTTATTTATCTTCTCAAAGAACCCACTTTTTGTTTCATTTGTTTTTCATATAGTTCTTTTACTCTCTATTTCATTTATTTCTACTTGAATCTTTATTATTTCTTTTCTCCTGGAATGTTTTGGGTTTGTTTGTTGTTATTGTTGTAGTTCCAGTTCCCGGAGTTGTGTCATCAAGTTGTTTATTTGCCACCTTTCTGCTTTTTTTTCTTGAGGGCACTAATTGCTATGAACTTCCCTCCAATGACTGCTTTTACTGTGTCCCATAGGTTACAAACACTTGTTTGTTTGTTATCATTGTTTTCTATGAAACTTTTTATTTCAGTCTTAATTTCTACTATGGTTGTAAAGTCATTTAGGAGTAAGTTATTTAGTTTCCAAGTGTTTTTGAATTTTTGATGGCTCTTTCTGTTCTTGATTTCAAGTCTGATTCCATTGTGGTCAGAAAAGATCCTAGATACAGTTTTTTAAACTTTGATTTTGTAAAAGCTTGTTTTAGGCTCTATCATGTGGCCAGTCATCAAAAATGTTCCATGTGGGGTTGAGAAAAATGTATATTTTGTGGTAATTGGTGGAATACTCTGTAGATGTCTGTCAAGTCCGCTACATATATGGTATCACTTAGATCTTCTATCTCTTTGTTTATTTTTTGTCTAGATGATCTGTCCAGAGGAGACAGTAGGGTGTTGAGATCCCCTACAATTATTGTGCTGCAGTCTACCTCTCTCTTGAGATCTAACAGTCTCTCTTTGATGTATTTAGGTGCTCCAATGCCTGGTGTGTCGATATTTACAAGTGTTATACCTTCTTGGTGAACAAGTCCTTTTAGTACTATGTAACATCCATCCTTCTTTGTCTCTTTTACACCTTTCATCTTAAAATCTGTTTTGTCTGATACCGATATCACTACTCCAGCCTTTTTTTGGTTTCATTTGCATGGAATATCTTTTTCCAGCCTCTCACTTTCAGCCTATGTATATCCTTATCAGTGAAGTGTGTTTCTTGTAAGCAGTATATAGATGGCTTCTGTTTTTATATCCATTCAGCCAGTCTGTGTCTTCTAATGGGAGAATTTAATCCATTAACATTCAATGTTATTGATATTTGAGGATTTATCCCTGTTATTTTGTTAGCCATTTTCTCAGTTGTTTTTTGTTTTCCCATTTCTGTTTGTCTCTCTTTAGTTATCCTGATACAATATTTCCCTCAGTACTTCCTGTAGAGCTGGTCTAGTATTGGCAAATTTTTTCCGGTTTTGTTTACCTGAAAATACTTTTATTTTTTTCTTCCCATTTGAAAGATAATCGCTCTGGATATCATATTTTTTTAGAATTATTTATTTTATTTTATTTTATTTTATTTATTAATTCATTTATTTTAATTTGACCAGAGAGAGACAGAGAGAGAGAGAGGGGAAGCGAGAAAGCAAACCACCAGGTACAGGACTCGAACCATGGTTGACCACATGGGAGCATCCAGCACCTTAACCACCATGCCACCTGCTGGCCCCGTCGATATCATATTCTTGGTTGAAACTGTTTTCCTTTCAGTGTTTTAAATATGTCTCCCATTCTTTTCTTGCCTCATTGTTTCAGTTCAGAGATCTGGTGTTAGCTTAATGGGATAACTTTATAAGTAACTTGACATTTCTGCCTTGCCATTTTTAGAATATTGTCTTTGTCTTTAATTTTTGCCAACCTGGCTATGATGTGCTGGTGAGATCTTTTTATGTTGGTTCTATTAGGGGTCCTTTTTATTTCTTGAGTATGAATTTCTCTGTGTTTCTCTATATTTGGAAAATTTTCAGAAGGTGTTTCCTGAAAGAGGTTTTCCATGCCTTTAGCAGATTTTTCTTCTGGAATACCCATTATACAAATATTTGGATGTTTTATGGTGTCTAGAATTTCCTGTACGTTGACCTCATTTTTTTTTATTACTGTTTTACCTTATTTAGTCATTTTTCTTTACAACTGAAACTCTGGGAAGTTAAAATTGCCCTTGAGCTTCTTGTAAAGAGAAAGTTTCGACCTTGTGCTCCACATTGTTCTGTTGTGCTTTGTCGAGGGGAACCTTGATGAGCCGGCTGCAATCCAGCTTCACGGGGATTGCCCACAATTTTGCTGGGGAAAACTAAGTCCTCCAGGATCATGTCATGCACAGTTACCAGAGTGTGACTCCTGGGACGCTTTTGTTTATTTTTTCTGCAAGTTTTTCAAGTTGGCTTAGACAGAATTCTCCTCTGAGCAATAAAGACCATGTATTTCCCACTGTACTTTTTCTCCAGTTTGGATTTTCTTGAAGGACTTCAGTTAAGGGACAGGAACAAACATTATGATACCTTTCTGACCACCACAAACTTCAATTTCCAAGGCTTCCATGATGTTCAGCTCCCTGAGCTGTGCTTTTAGGTCAGAATTCATCTTCAGCTCCACTAGATCCTGGGAGATGCCCGACTTGATTTCATATGGCTTTTCACCATTGGGCTTCACAGTCTTGGCGCTTGAGCTGAACATGACTGCTCCTTGGTGAACACCAGCTGAGGAAGAGCAGCCTCATTTTTTTTTTCATTTTTTTTGTGGTGATTTGGTCTATGTTGGAGACTTTTTTTTTTAAGGTCAGAAATTCTTTCTTCTGCACAGTCCAATCTGCTGTTAACACTTTCTAGGGAGATTTTAGTTTCTTGTATTGTATACTTCATTTTCAGAAGTTCTGTTTGATTCTATTTTAGGGTGTCTATTTCTTTATGAAATTCCTCTTTCATGTCCTGAAATGATTTTCTCAGTTCCTGGAATTGATGATCTGTTTTCTCTTGCATCTCATTGAACTTTGTCATTATTAATATTTGGAATTCTTTTTCTAGCATCTTTATGTATTTCTCTGTGCTGTCTATTATTGGTAAATGGGCTACTGCATTCACCTAGGGGAGAGTTATCCCCTTAATTTCTCTTGTTTCTTTGAGATGTGTGCTGAATTCTAGTCATCCGATGCAGTATTCACTTTTTTCTATGTATTGGAGTAGATTCTGTAGTATTGGTAGAGGAAATTTTATCCTTTCTTTCCAGGAGGGCTCTGTCTCCCAGGTCAGAGCAGTTATGGGTAACTTCAGGTGCTCGGTTCCTCTACCAAACATTCAGCTCTCAGTGAGGTGGTAGCAAGCTAAGGAGATATAATTTAGTGAAGAAGATCAAGTCACACTTTGCACTGGGCACAGTGCATGGGTTGGTATACCATAATCCCAAAGTTGCTCCCAGGACACAAGCATGGCCTCACTCAAGAAGGCTTGATCAAACCAGGCTCAAGTTTCCTAGTGGGTAAGAAAGGAGAGCCCAGGCCACCTGAGTGGTAGGAGACAAAGTGGCAAGAGTTCCAATGTTGCTCCCAGGTCACAAGCGTGGACTTACCCAAGAAAGCCTGCCAAGATCAGGCTCGTCCCCTGAAACTAAATTAGAAATTTTAAAAACTATAAGGTAAAGAGTAAGATGAGATCAAATGGCAAATTCATAGCTCCTCTTAAGGACTAGAAAATTAAAAAAATTCTAATCAACTTAGGTAACTTTTGGGCTGTCGGGAGTCATAATGCATTTTTTTGTGTAGAAAAACATTGAGAAATGCATCATGATTTTTCTGATAACCCAATAAAATGTTGAGTGCCTATTCTTAGATACTATTTTAGACATGGATTGAAAAACATACCTTTGCTAGGCCAGATGGTGGTGCAGTAGTAATGCAATTGGACCCACGTGCAAAGGTCCTGGGTTCACATCCCAGGGCTGTCCTGTACATGTCCGGTGCACATGCAGGTGCCAAAGGTCCAGGTTGGCTGATGTTGTGGTAGATTGCAGTGTGAGGATCCTGGGAGTGCAATTCACTTTCTCACTCTTTCAGTCTTCATGGAAGAAATATGAAAAATAAAAAACTAACTAAAATAATGTCTTTGTCTTTGG